CAAACATTACGATGCTATGAAAGGTCCACGAAAGGTATTGCAATAACATATAAAATAAAATTGAAGAAATGATCATAAACACGCAGTGAGCATTAAATTGTCATGGAATACGTTTGGTAATGATCAGTAATGGAAATTTCTATTATTTTTTTTATAAAATAATTTGATAAAATCACTGACATAATGATTCACTACAGCCGCTATTTTTTGTTCTCGCTAGAAGTCATTTGAAGTTGATGTAGAAGTCCTCTGTTGCCAAGTGAAAAGAAAGGGAACACAGCAAAAAAATAATTTTAATATCACATCAAAGTGGATGCACTTCAATTGTGTCGAAAATATGGTGTAATATTACTTGCCAAAAAGGACAAAATTATCATTAATACAGTGCATGAACTGATATTACGTTGCTTTTACTGCATTTGTTTATTTTTGTGGCCATTTTTGACATGATTGAAGTGCATCTTCTTGGATGTAATATTAAAATTTATTTTTTGCTGTGAATCTTTCGAAAACCGTGATGCGAGTTCAACTGTTTTTCTCTTGGCGTGACTCATTATACACCGACTCTAGTTAAGTGATGCTCCATTTCCCCTGACAGTTGGGATATGAGCACTTACTCTTGTTCTAGCCTTTTATGGCTTATGGCTATAGCGCTGTCACTCGCTTTCTGACAAGATAAGAGGAAAAGGAACAGGAGAAGGACAAAGGGAAAAGGATTATAACTCTATGAATATAAACAATATTTTTGATATATAGTTGAAGATGCTAAGTTTCAAATAACAGACTTAAAGTGGTCATGTTATAGATGAGGAAATGAAAGTATAGAGTTGATAGTTCCGTTAGAGTACGGCAGTGTAAAAATTGTATATAGAGAGTAAAAAGCGAACAAGGACAACTTTGAGGAAGTTACGAATCGGGTTGATCATCTCTCTTTACCAAACTCCCCAGTTGGAGAGGGATGAGGGGTACCCCCTCTCCCCCTCACCGCCACCACTGGCCACGGCTCGTTCAATGTAAATTAAATTAAATTCAATTGAATTTTTCACTGCCTTGTAAAAGCACAAATGCATGTAAAATTTTATGAAAATGAATAAAAAATTAAATAATTTCATGTTAAATTAATGCAGGGGGCTGCACACCTTGACTGAATATATCAAAATATTTTGACTTAGACTTAAAAACAAAATTATCCGTAGAGCAAACATTATTCATCAAAAAACTCTTTTTTTTTTACATGTATTAGTTTTTGAAAAAACTTTAATATTTTCGTTGATATTTAGAAATATTTTATGATATGTTTAAATATATTTAAGTTGTCTCACCCCTTGAATTAATATGTTATAATGTATGTTTCAACTGAGGCCAGAAATTACATCTATGTACCATGTGTAAATCTGTGCCATCCATTTGTAGTGTAGGGGAAGAAGATGGAAGCCATTCCCAAGGAAAATTTATTTGTTTATAGAGGTTTTAAAGCATTATTCAAGTCTAAAGCATGGTATACAGAACCATCATAAAACCAAAATTGATTCTGGTTTCGCACTTTTGTCATCACAAGGTAGTGGTTCAAATCAATGTTTGTACCGATAATGTGCGAGAAGTGCCTTCCATAAATCAAAACGTAATTGATTTGTGATTCTGTCTGTTGTGGTAATCTCCAGGTGTACCGAATGACCTATGTAAAATATATGGTAAATATGTCCTAAATCACGATGATTTTTAATGTAAAACATGAGATATCGTTCTTGATTGCGATTTATTGATTTAAAAATAAACGAAATATTTCATCTCATCTCAGTATAGTTATAGTATAGTTATCACGTTTTCAAATATTTAAATTGATGAAAAACGAATTGTCTTCTATTTTTAATCTAATCGTATACTTTCAATATAAAGCGTGAAACATACTACAATAGGAACAAATCTTACCCTTACAGATTGTAAGAGAAGCTACTTGGCCAGTTTTGATGAGTTGAGGTACATAAATTCGCAAATGTTTGAGTTATAGTGCTCTTTTCATTCAATCTAGGTTCCTTATATGTAAACGACATAGGGTGTCGTACGTTTCGTTTAACAGCAAGATGGATTTCTCTCCAAAATTGACCAAAATATCCAACAAACAATTTGGCTAATTAAGAGTCTCTTTTTAGCTGTATAAGCCTTTTATTATCTGAATAAGCTAAAATAAAGGGTGATACGGTCAAAATTTGGTCAAGGGAAAACGCGTGTAAATCGGTGAAATCGTTTATTTAAAAAATCAAATTAAATTTCTTTTTCAAGTTCAATTAGTATAAAATTCAGGAAAAATATTCAGTTAGGCTTCCGCTTTTCCAAATCCGAATTGCCGGGCCTTACGCTTGACCCCTGCCATCAGATTTTGTACAGCCACCTTGTCCACCTTCTTCGCCGCAGAAAGCCAGTTTGCCTTGAACTGCTGCTCGCCCTTAGCAGTTTTTTTGGTCTTCTTTAGGTTCCGCTTGACAATAGCCCAGTATTTCTCAATTGGGCGGAGCTCTGGCGTGTTGGGAGGGTTCTTGTCCTTGGGAACCACCTGCACGTTGTTGGCGGCGTACCACTCCATGGCCTTTTTTACCGTTATGGCAAGATGCCAAATCCGGCCAAAACAGTACGGAACAACCGTGTTTCTTCAGGAAAGGCAGCAGACGTTTATTCAAACACTCTTTCACGTAAATTTCTTGGTTGACAGTCCCGGAAGCTATGAAAATGCTGCTTTTCAAGCCACAGGTACAGATGGCTTGCCAAACCAGATATTTCTTTGCGAACTTTGACAGTTTCATGTGCTTGAAAACATCTGCTACCTTTCCCCTTCCTTTTGCCGTATAAAACTCCTGTCCCGGAAGCTGCTTGTAGTCGGCTTTGACGTAGGTTTCGTCGTCCATTACCACGCAGTCAAACTTCGTCAGCATCGTCGTGTACAGCCTCCGGGATCGCGCTTTGGCCGTCGTATTTTGTTTATCATCGCGATTTGGAGTCACTACCTTCTTGTAAGTCGATAGTCCGGCTCGTTTTTTGGCTCGATGCACGGTTGTAGACGATACACCCAGCTTATTTGCGGCATCTCGGAGAGAGAGGTTAGGGTTTCGCTTGAAACTACCGGCAACTCTCTTTGTCTTCTCAGCGGCTTCCGGTTTTCGATTTCCCCCCGATCCAGACTTCCTGGCTGTCGACAAACGTTCCCCAAACACTTTAATTACATTTGTAACGGTTGATTTGGCAACTTTTAGCGATTTTGCCAACTTTGCGTGCGAGTAGCTCAGATTTTCGCGGTGCGCGAGCAAAATTTTGATACGCTGCTCTTCTTGCTTGGACGGCATTTTGACAACTGAAGAGTGAATTCCAAAATCAAAATAGGAGCAACATTCTACACACACACACCTTCAAAATGAGGGGTATTCAGGTTTTTTAAATGCAAAATTGAAAGAAATACGTCAAGTTGATATTGACCAAATTTTGACCGTATCACCCTTTACAATCGGAAATTTGAGGTTAGGTTAGGTTATCTTTATTAAGGAGAGACTTTCAGCCATAGGCTGGTTCATCTCTTCGGGCATTAGAGGGCATCGCTGATCCATGGCTCATATATCATCTTTTTTATTTCATAATGGAATACGATTACACCCCAACCTAAATTTGCGCGGTTATATTTTTTTGTTTTCAATTTTTATATTTTTATTCTAATTTTTTGAAACCGATTTTGGATTCGCAAATCTAGATTTGGGTGTGCTTGTACACTTATTGGTAATTGATCTGCTCCTAATCCTATAAGTTGACGTTCCTCCCCATAATTAGTGATGTTCTTTGGGGATGGGGAGACTGCACACACTTGATCCCCCCTTGGTTTCTCGAAATTCTGAGCAGATTTTTTTCAGATAAGTTTCCCCAAAGTTTCGTCTAGATAAAAGGTAATTTTATGGTGACAATTGCGTCAGATTGTAGAACGAATATATTTTTGAGAGTAGTTCGTATGTTTTCACTCCATTAGACTTTTGTTTAGCCAGCAGCAAAAAAATTCTTAATAACGTTTTGGATTTTCACCGAAACGTATAAAATTTTCACAGCTAAAAACTGTGAATAAGCAGAATTGATTTTTATATTATCATTGAACTGATGCTGCTTCTTTTGATGTTTTGTTTAGTTTGATATGAAGTTGAAAACGACAGATTGATCCCATGAACATAACTTAAAACTGATATATGAATGTGAAAAAATTAAACTCTCTAATGTATTAAAAATATTTATGAATATTTTAAAGATTTGGTTAATTTTAATTCCCACAATTTGATTCAATTATACTTGGTCCTACTCTGATTTTTAGGCATTCTTTCCAACTATTGATAACATTATTATCCATCAAAAAATGAAAATTGAAGCCCTTTGTAGTACATTACACATTGTACATTAAATATGACAGAAATGTGTTGAACATTATAGTTAACTTTTGATATGAACCATTGCATAACCAATTAGTAAACTATTTGCAAACAATCGTCAGCCATTTGTTTCTATTCGCTTACGTTCCATTTACCACGCTGCAATGAGTAGTTGAACGGGTTAAAAATGCTGTGCCCTGGATCGCCTTTTTTTTTGTTCCTAACGGAAGCAAATCAAACGCCGACTCGCAAAAACTTGCAATTGTTTTTGATTTTCGAATATCATCATAACCCAAATACCAGACACTGAGTTTGATTATGGCAGCGCATGTGAGACCTTCACATAGCGCGAATCTCGCTCCGTGCAAACATTTGAAGATACTCGGAATGAGTTTTTTTTTAATTTTAATGTGGAACCTGTTCTCCTCTGACGAATGTAGGTATGCTCAAAGGTTATCGTGCCTACAGCCCGAAAAATGTGTCTGTCATTTGTGCCAATAATGGAGAGTAGCTGCGTAATCGGATCGAGATGTGGACGTGAGAAGCTGACGAATGGGATTTGGATATATAGACAACAAATTTCACATGGCTTGGTTGATGGATACTAACGTGCATTTGTTTCCTGGTCGCTGATTTTGGGTTTCTCCGTGGATAAGCAGTCTTTGCTAAACCCATTCATTTCGATGGTGTTTCTGCGGTTTGCTTTTTCGCTATCACCCATTGTGGTTCACTTGACTCTTTTTTTTTTTATCGCTCGAACGCTATTACAGGTTTGCTACTTTCCAATTATTTCGGTTTGCAAATCACGATTGAATCGGGGAACTGTCAACCAGCATGCATTTGGCATAAACTTTCTTCGCCCGCCACACAAATCACTGTGTTGAACAAACAACTTCCCCCGAGTTTCAGCTTAAATCACAGACCGCCGGTACATAGCATTGTGGGAACTAATTACCGATTTTATCACAAAAATATATATAACTCAGAACTCCGGGTGTGCACTGCACCCGTTCAAGTTCTACGAACAATGAACGATTTTTTTTCGCGCGCTTTGGAGCTCAGAGCACCTTGCTCATTCCTGAACGAACGCAAAACTTAGAATGAAGTGATTGCTCGATTCCGATTCCGCCAGTACCTACCGAGCGATGGAGTCCCACCGTCGATAGTAGTTTTACTAGTGTACTAACACTACCAATAATAATCAGCTACTGCAAACTACTTCGCGCCGCTATCTGTAGGACCGCGGTAAAAGTGTTGTGATTGTTGTTCGATACGGGATAATGTCGATCCGACTAGCAGCAGCAGTACCAATAATGCGGTAGCTGTTGTAGTGTTCTCCCTTTCGAGTGATTGTTTAGCTAAAGAGAGAGCAGCGGGAACTTAAACAGCAGGCGAGAGCGGTCCAGTGGAACTGGAGGCTGGAGAGGGCACCTACGGACATTCGATTGAAAATGATAAAATTTCAATTATGGAGGAATGCAGTCCATTGTGTGTAGGAACCGAAGTAACTATACCAGCGTGATATGACAGGCAAATAAGCTTCCCGCATTAAAGTATTGCCAAAGTACAACACTGAAGGTCGCTAGCATGGGGTAGTGGAATGGTGAGGTTTTCGTCTAAGTTTACATTTCTTTTATTTAGTGAAATTGTAATTGCCAACTATCGTACTATCAGTCACCTCAGTGTTTTAGGCACCTCCACCGTTAATAGAGGTTTTAGATGAGTCAAATCATCTCATTGATTTATTATATGCCTATGCTTGGCAGGCACAACCGTAATGATTTTAGATCCTTCACCTTAGATAGCATGCGTGCTCCTACTACCGGTGGACTTGGTGACCTCACGAATAAAGTTAAAATCAAAACATGTATATACCGCAGTATCAGTGTCTCGAGTTCGATGCTCCGGTATGGCGTGATTATTAATATTTTGAACCATCGATGAAAGCCTTGTCGGATAATCCATCTGCAAATTTACATGAACACTTGAATAGAAATTGTTATCAATCAGCAAAACAATGGCACATTTGCACTTTTTGCCAACCAATTCAATAAATAGAAGTGAACAAAACGTGACAAACCCATCGGAAAGACGATATTATATCAATTGCTTGCTGGCTTTTCCGGTAGCCGATAGCACATTCTCTACAACCACTTCCGATTTTCCACACTTGAGATCGAATGCGACGTCAAGTCAAGATGCCGCAAAGAGCTTTCGAATCGCTTTCATGTTTGTTTGTTTGTTCCGCTACCTGCTGAATGGCGCGCTGATGCGTGAACCGTGAGAGATTTGGTGTAAAGTGAGAGATTGTAAGCTCCCGAACCAGCGAGTGGTTATAATAATCATAAATTAAATACCTGTGTGTACTAATATGTAAGTAGGAGACGGTGAAGTGATTAAGGAAATGCGAGAATCCATAAATGTGTCGTTTAGCACACCGATTGATTGCTAAACGTGTTCTGTTCAGGGTTGAAGTATCATTTTGGTGCTACGCGTGTGGTTGGCGGTCGTTCGCAGCTGATCGCATTCGTAACGGAACATGTTTAGCTTATTAATCGTCGAAGGATGCGTGGTTCATCACATTATGTGATGCATTAATGTCGTGTAAATTAATGTACAAACTTTGAAACTTGAGCGCTTGAGTAACTCGTTTTATTTTGGGACCTACGGTATTTTTCAACAGGTGCAGCTCAAAATGGGACTGGGGATCAACAAGTTGTATATGTTTCTTATGGGAAATCTTTCAGATTGCTGAAAGCATTCATGATCAGTGCAGGTAAAAATCATTTCTTTTACACTCAACTTAGCTGAAAATGCAGACAACCTTAACATCCCTCCCTAGGCTAGTTAGTAATCTAGACGTTGGTGGGCGGGCCTAATCTTATGCTTCATACTGGAGCGTTGGGGACGGTGGGTTTAGGTCCCGCATCGTTGGCTTTTGCCGTGACAGAATAGCGTCATGAGCATGCGATGAGGATTACTGAGCTTCCCCTCTCTGATGAACCATTGCATGAGAGAACCAAAGTTCTAGCCTGAAGTGATAGTATCACACTTGTTACTCCTTTATTTGAAAGCCGCGTTGTAGTACGCTTACGTATAGGCACTGACGTTGGGTGCGATACTGGCGGGTTTTGCCGTAAATCACTCTTATTTTATTTATTTTTACGCAGATAGATTTATTGGGGTTTGCAAGGGAATTATACTATTGAAATATTTCAGAAAGTGCCCAACAGTACTCCTTCTACTTGCATGACAAGCTTTCGTTGTTGTTTTCATTGAGGTATTACTCAGGGAACAATGTTAAACACCATTTTTGTACATGGTATTGCAACTAATCTTATATGTGCTTCACTTTGATTTGGGATAAGTGTTTGAACTATGGCTCGGGATTTCCACTGTGGCGTGCTTCTATTGTGACATAACCATACGTATTTTTGTGGTGCGACATAGTGGAAACATGTGAGCGTAGTTGAAGCATATACCCTATATAATTTAAAAATCAGCTAGGGAACTAACTTCAAAGTGAAGCATTTTAGTCACTTGAAGGTGTCACCTGGGACGAACCTAATATATATTAAATATAGATCAAAGTCAAAAACAACTTGAAACACGTTAAATTTTGGATTACATTCACAAGTGCAGGTACTTTATAAAGCATGGTAGGTAGATTAGAGTTTTAAATTATTTATTAAATTAGACTATAGATATCATAATCATCAAACGAACTTAAATAAGAAAATTTAGACAGTCTAGTAGCATTAAGTGGATTAACAGAAGAGTTAGGATGCGGAGGGTCCGCTTAGGGAGGCAACTAGCCTTTAAAGCAACTGGAAACTAGCCTTTTCATGTATTGTCTGTTTATTTTGATTATTGCTCTAAAATATCAATTTGGTATATATGTGAAAGGATGAATCAGTGGGAGATGGATTTTCGGTTTCTTTACATTTAGCATCACTATGTGTCATTTCCACAAAACCTCCCAATAACCCAATATTTTGGTGTCTTCGCTTGCTTAATTCTTGGGTAAGTAATAAAATGTGGCCCAGTTAGAATCTATTATGCGCAGTTTATTTAATGGCAGTGCCCCTAGCGGTCAGTCTGGAATGTTTTAACAGTAGTTTGTTTCGATAATGCTCCTATTTCAGTGCTGAATGTTACCTCACTATTCGTGCAGTTGAAAAAAAAGTTGTTCCAGATGGAACACGAGGGAAAAATTGATCTTACACCTTTCGGTCTTACGTCTACATTGAAAATGCCGAAAACGTTTAAATTGGCCAAATATACCGGCTAAATCTAACATACCCGGAAATATTCAGTTTGTTGTCACTAAGACCCGTAAGCATACCGTCACTGTGACCATATTGTAGCATATCCCGTGTCCTTAGTTTATTGCATGTCGTATTACTCCATCTATCATTATTGAGAAATGATAAAGTATTCGATTTTGATACAGTTGTCATTCTTGCCTTCATCACAAGGACTCGATTCTAATTGAAAGGTCCCGCTATTTATATCCTTCGAAGAGTGAGAGCACCCCCCAAAGGCGCATCTTTTTGTCAGTCAATATTGGATTCCATAGCAACAAAATTACGCAATAACACCGATAATGACCATGCATCAAAAACATAGTCTTAACCACTTTAAAACTAAGGACCAACCAATAGACGATTAAGAATCACCACTTGACAGCCAAGCCCCGTGCGAGATAGACGTATTTCTTATATCAGCTGCGGTATCGTGCTACAATCGAATGGTTTCCTCTAAATATGGGTGCGAAACGTGAGAACACATTGGTAGTGGATTTCTTCCGAAGCGACCGTATGCATCTGTCGTACACCGTGAACATGAAGTTCAACATTGTAGACGCAGTAGACATTCAGTTCCATAATAATAATTCAGTTCCGGAATTGTGTTTATGTCGAGATGGTAGATGAAGCAACAGCCAAGCACCATCTACAGCACATAATGAAGAAAAGGAGTACAGATCAAGCGGTTAACGTTCGAATTCATGATTTTCCTCGTCAAACACCAAGCACGATGATGAGAGAAAAAGAGAGCATGCAACCGTACGGCACCATTCTCTCCATCAGCTTGAAAGTGTTGGCTAAAATCAAGATCAGAAAATCAAAATCAGCTATCTTTCAAGATCAATATCATCTAAAATCATAGGCACCAATATCAGCTGTGATTTTCGATTCCCAAAATCAATGAGCACCAATATCAACCAAGTTCAAAATCATCGAAAATCATAGGATTCGAAGATATGTTATATTCTAGAGTCTGGGACATTTCGAATTCTAGGTCAGCATTCCGGATGAAATAAAAATGGTGGATTTCAACCCAAGATTGCGGACCAAAATCCAATATGGCGGCCTCCGAACAGCGAATCTAAACCCAATATGGGTATCTACGGACCGGGAATGATGAGCAAAAGTGGAAAATCAACATCCGCTGCCTTTTGAAATTCAAGATGGCGGACCAAACTCCAATATGGCGGCCTCCGGACATCGAATATGCATCTAAACCCATGCAATATGGGTATCTACGGAATGCGCTTGATGAATAGAAGCTTCTAACAGTATATGTCACAAATGAATGGAATGAATTCACTTTTATCACATGTTTTATGTATTATTCTATGTGACCCTACGTCTTTTTAATTTGATTAATGTTGCGATGCATCAGGCGTTTTGTCCCACTGTCATTTTGGAATCAAATAAAAAAAAAGTTTAAAATATCATAAAAAATAATTGTTTTGGAAATGGAACACACTTGATCTTTGTAGAAAACATTGTAACGAACCATACTCAATTAGGGTTAACTACCCCATTTCCGGCCTATTAAGCACAACCCGCACTTAGTCTTTCTTAATCTAGCGTAGTTTAGCACCAAGCGGAATGTTATTATTACTGATGGCTTCCAAATTTATTTACCTTTCCGTACGTACCGTAAAATTTGATAAAGAAAAACAAATTGTTGAGATATTGTTAAAAGTCTAACACTGCTTCTTGACGCCAAACTCGGCCTACGGATTCTAAACTCGGCCTAACGCATTGAAACGCCAATGAATTCACTTCGGCCTGTCGCATGAAGATAAACATTGATTCGGTCGGAGCGCTTCATTTGTATTTGAGAATATTGGGTGCAAACATTCATATCACGCGTTTTTATTGACTTCGTTCGGTAGCATTTGAACTAAAGTATCGTACCAAACGTATAATCTACCTATTAACGCCAAAATCATGGATTTATTTGATGTTTTCTGCTTGATATGCCCAAAATGGGTGCTTAGGCCGAAGTTCTCTACCCTACATCTTAAATAATTTTAGCAGCCATACACTAGCAATGCATAATTTGCACCACCGTACCCTATATGTTTAGACCAGGTTCATTTGTTTCATGAGTAACTCGTTATAATTGTGGGAAATATTTGCTGTACTCTATCTATTTGCTCTGGGTCTCAGATAGCATAGTCAGCCAAGGCACGGAGGCACAAGCCGGAGGCGGTGGGTTCGATTTCCGGTCCGGTCTAGAAAAAAATGTCTCGGCTTTCCTGGGCAAAGAATATTATTGTGCTTGCCACATTGCATTTCTAATGAAGCAGAAATTACAATCAATTTACCATTCAATTTAATTGGTGCCATTTCATTTGGCATTATGAAATTAGCGTGTGTTTAGGTGAAATTACATTTTCAACTACAGCCAGCAACGAACCGACGAGCAAAATTTCAACGTTCATTTCAAAACACAAAATAAAATATCTCCCATAAAATGCTATAAACTCACACTTCATCTGACCACACCATGGATCAAGGTCACCGCATTTGATAGTGGAGAAGGTTCGCTGCCTATCGACACTACCACACGTTCAAATCCTCTCGCCGCCATCCTCGTTTCGACGTACATCCCGTACATGCTTACACCTCATACCGTAAGCTGCTTTACGTTCCTTGAATGACTCATTCATGAAGTGTGACGTGTCCATCGACGCAAATACAATCCAACGGTTGTTTTCGTCGTCACCTTGTGGCTGTACGATGCCAATCGATTTGTGCACATGTGTGGGTGTGAATTCTACACCTATTTTTTCTGTGATTGCGAGTTTGCTGTACGCTGTCAAAACATTTGACAATTATCTACCGAGTAAAGTGATTGTTAATCTATCCGTATTTTTCTACGCCAACTAACCAAAACCAGCAGCAATATAGTGGTCAAACACCACATCAAGTTGGGAGAAAACGGCCCAAAGTTGTTATTTTTCGTTTTAGTCATCGTTGTCGGGCGTTTTTTGTGATTTTTTCGACTACCTATTGTTCTTCTGCCCCAGGAGTTTACCGATAAAGAACAAAATTTCACAGGTGGAAAAAAAGCCTCGAAGTTTTGTTTTTCCATTTGCGTTTGAGGAGACTTTCATTGCGATCGGGAAAGTGTGAAAATCGGAATCGGAAGCTGACAATGGCCGCAGAGATTAAGCCCGCACCGCGTAGTGCAAATGATCGCTTCAGTACGACGAAAAAGCCGGAATTGCTTAACAAGCTGGAGGGCTGCAATGATGACGTGAACGCAGCGCTACTGATTCCCGGAGAGGAAGGTGTTATCAGTGTTTGTGATGACAAGTATGTTAATTGAATTTTACCTTGTTTATCGTTCGTTGCTGACTTTTTCTTAGCCAACTATGTATGTACGTATCTACTGACTGTTGCTGTTACGCTGGTCACTGTCGTTTTTTGGCACATATTTTTGTTACACTGATGGGAGAAAAATATTCAAACTTTGCGTACTGTTCAATGACCTGAGAGGCTAGTGGAGATACGAATGGTGCTCTGTTTACTGATAAAAATTAGTGTCTGTATTCTTTTGCTGGTGGACCATGTTTGTGCAATATATATGGAATGATTTATATTTTTTCATGGATTTTTTTCTTTTTATTCTTCACTGTCAGCTTTTTTTCATTTGCTTATCTTCAAACTCATTAAATTATACATGGTATACGTTCTATATGTATAATATTACTAAATCTACCATGTTAAATTTAAGCAGAAAGTGGTCAATGATGAATGGTTTACGTATTCTCTAAGACTAAAATAAAAAAGAAGTATTTTTTTTAAATGAAAGTTGATAAAGTACGATTGAAGCAAGTTGCTTTATGTTATCTTAACGTCAAGATTGATAGAATCATTTAAAAACCGCTAAAATTTCACAAGACAAATGAGCTAAAGGCAACGGCCATTTGTGGATTCTATGAACCTTGTTCTTATTATTATAATTTTTTTATTATAGTCACTTTAACACTTTTGGGTCAATTCGTGACTTGTCCGGGGGTGAGGTTTGAACTCGTGACTTTTGGCGTGAGAGGTTTGGATGCTAACCACTACGTCGGGGTCGCCCCTTTTCCTTAACGATTGATAGCATTTATATAATAAATGGTGTTGATTGATGTCTTAAGTAGGATAATATAAAAAGTAACCCATTCAGAAACTCAAGCAGACGAGGAGGAATATACGTTGGTAACCACTGAAAATGATTGTCCCTGGACTGCAGTCAACGAGAATCAAGAAGTGAATCTGATGACACACCAATGTCAGGCGATTCGAAGAAAGCAACAAGGGATTACCGATACTGTGAAGCCGTTGGAATGGTGATTTCAAATATCCCACAACCATTCAACGAAACGTCAATGGTCCGATGATTGAACTCTGGAGAGCAGCGATTGAGCAGTCTCAGAAGGAAGTTTGCGCCTGTAAAGTTGTGTGCAGGTAGAATTTCAAGCGAAAAGAGGATAAAAACGGAAACGTGACCCGCTACGAGGCGCGTTTGGTAGTACATGGTTTCACCAAAAACTCGTTGGGCAACTCCCGAAGAATCCTGTAGCCTACCAACGAAGTATGCAGATCGAACACGTAAACGTTCAGACGGCGTACCTGAACATAGAAATTCAGGAAACTGTTGTCATGCATTCACTGGCTGTGATTTTGGAGATCTGAATCTGGTGTGTCCTTTAAAAATATACTACAGATTGAAACAAGCCGCCCACATCTGGAACCGGATATCGGTATAGCACTGCGGAAGCACAGTTTCAATCCATCGGATAACCGATGCACTGTATGAGGATGAACTAGTAGTAGTTTGCATTTCCGAGGAGCCATAAGCCATTGCCAGAAGCCTGAACAGTCATTTTCAAGGTAACATATTTGGGGACATAACGCACTTTTTTTTTTGGAATACATTAATCATTCGCTTTTTAGTTGGGAGTTCGATAATTGAGTGACGTCCTAACTATAATGGAGATATCCCGTAAGAAAATTGTGTCAAACTACCCTAGACATTTTACTGTTTTTACTTGGGAATAATCTAGCAAGCTGCTTTGTTTGATAAACTACAGTTAGAAAACTGAAAAACCATGCCAACAAAAAATGAGTAGATGGGTTGCGTCCCAAACAACGAATGATAACTGTTAATATCACTCGTTCTGAAGCAGGTGTGTCTCTTAGTTAAAAGATGTACATTAGGGTGGGTTAAGTATGTATGGTGAATCACAACCCCCTATTCCCCACTGCTCTTCCGATGTGTATTGAGGTCCCTAACAACGGTGTCAAATTTGAACAAATTTGGTTATGATCTGGATTTGCAGGGGAATTGAAAATTTTGAAGGGTTCATTAATTTTAAGAAAGCTAAGGGATCAGTCCAACTACCCATTTTAGGCATTTAATTCCAACTCTGATAGTTCCTGTTAAATGTTTTATCGTTATTTCTTTAGAATTCATGGTTTGCTATGCAATGTTTGAACGGGGCTTATGTGTTAAAATACTTTGTCGTTTTGCAGATCCTTTTTCTTGTTTCACAGGAAAGACAGTGATTTAGCAATAAAAATTAATTTCAACCATCAGTGAGAACAATTATATACTAATTAGAAATGTTTTTTTATTATTATGGGACGCTAACAACTACCAATTACAACATTATTTCCACCAATAGGTCAGGCTCACATTATACACCAATACTTTTTGAGGAAGTTGTTTTTTTTTCAATTTCTTCAGATTTTAAGCTTCTCCATATAATTTGATACAATAGTCTTTTTTTTTCCTATGAAATTAAGAACTTCAAATGACGTGCCTCTTTTGGGTAGCCTTTAAAGACAATTTTAACTTCTCATATACTGAAAAGCGATGTGCTCATAACACAAACCCGTTATCTTCCGTTTTCTTCTTTCTTCTATCGATTGGAGGTCGTGACATTACGACAAACAGCGACAAATGTGATTCATTGCGTCTAATCAGCTTCGCTTCTAGACTACTCACTGTATGCCTCTCTCTGTTACCTACATGAACTTGGAATTCTGATGGCAACGCTTATGCTTTATTTATTTCTAGAACGATTCGCGTGTGGTTGCGACGTGACTCCGGCCAGTATTGGCCATCGATTTGTCAGTATATGCCATCAGGATGCACTTCTCTGTTCTACACACCGGAAACCAGAACACTCTTCATCGGGCAGGAGAATGGAACAATTTCACAGTTTACACTGTCCGATGATTGCAACCGCTTGACACCGATCCGGGAGTACCTAGCGCATCAAGCACGCATTACGAATGTGATTTTTGCCAAACACACCGGATGGATATTGTCCGCTGGACGGGACAAGTTCTTTGTCTATCACAGCACCGAAACTGGCGAACGTCTCGGTTGCTACACGTTCGAGGCCATATGCACAGCCATGCAGTATCCTTTTGATTGAGCGAAATGTTGATTATTTTTAACGGCGTAGATTGAATTGATTTTCCATAACTTGATCCTTTCCTAACTAGATATGATTCCCTTTCTAAGTATGCATTCGTAGGTGATTATAGTGGCCAAATTACAATGCTGAAGCTGAGCGCAACTGGAGCGGCGGTGGTAACGACGATGAAAGGGCATGCTGGATCTGTCCGAGCGTTATACTGGGCCGAGGGACCACAGCTTCTGTTCAGCGGATCGTACGATCAAACTGTCATCGTTTGGGATGTTGGTGGCAAACGCGGAACGACATACGAACTACACGGACACAAGTGAGTCCCAGTCAAAGGTCAATGTATGGTTGACATTGATTTGAAAATCATTTGTTCTTTCAGTAATAAAGTTTCAGCGCTTACGTATGGTAGCAACACGCAACAGCTGGTTTCGGCCGGCGAAGATTCGGTGATTGTGTTCTGGGAGATGAATGCCATGCGTAAGGTAGCCCCGGAGTGGGTTGAATCGGACACATGCCAGCTTTGTACGAGGGCCTTCTTCTGGAATCTGCGGGCCATGATCGACCAGAAGCAGATCGGAATCCGTCAGCACCATTGTCGCTACTGTGGCAAGGCCGTGTGCGACAAATGTTCGACCAACCGGATCAACATTCCCATCATGGGATTTGAGTTCGATGTGCGTGTGTGTGAGCAGTGCTTCCAGCGATTGAAGAGCGAAGAGTGAGTATAGATTTTAAATTAATATGAAGCAGATATATGAACCAGATTAACGATTTATCAGGTTAGTCAATGTCTGTCAAGCTGTAAAAAAGGGTGTCCTACGCATAAGGCTGAAATCTCAAAAGGCTGACATTTTCTATTGGCTCTGAAGTTTTGAATTTAACTACCAGAAATCGGGTTCAAGAGTAATGTTGTTAAAACTCAACAAAACATCTCTTAAATTTGGAGCATTTTTCTTGAGTTGCAGCATGCAGTTATAATTTCTTCAATCCATGCACAAATTTCGAGAACAGGAATTCAAATTAGGACATTGTATCCGTTAGTGATACGCTAAGAGATAGAGGAGATAACTGGCTTTTTTTTGTCTGTGACATGTTCTTCTTCTCTCGCGGAAACGACCGTGAAACAACTATTTCATTGTGAGTGACTGTTAAAATACAGGAAAAAAGATTTGCTGTTGTAAACATTCTCGCGTTTCTATACGTTCGCCCAACTAATCAGGCGCTGGTTCATGTTTGACAGAAAATTGGTTCATAAAAGGCTCCCTATTGTCTCCTCTTTCTTTTAGGTGATACGTTGCGGCAAAGTGAAAGCTGAATCTATTGTCTAACTGTCAGATTTGCCGCAACGGATCACCGACGGATGCAATGTGCGTGTGCCTTGATTGGTGGCGCGGTACGGTGGTTCTGGCAATATATTTTTACGGCGTACGTCTTACCAGTCCGAGCTACTGTCGTCGTGCTCACCATTAGGATCCTCGTGCTGAATTAACATCAACAACAAGTTCATTCACATGACAGCTGAATGAGGGGTGTGACTGGTGTGCATCCTTCTATTGTAAGGTGTACCCCACAAAACCCATCCATAGTAATACAAAAATACCATACACGAATGATAACTCAAATGATTGAACTATTCCACAAATGGTTTGGCAAATTAACCATAACATTTTTATCAGGGTCACCTTACCAGTGCAATATAGAGAAATATTTAAAAAAAAAATCAATTGAAATATGAAAAGGCGAAAGAGGAGCTAGACCTTAGCAGTTTCCGAAAAAGTTTGGGGATATTAGTTTGATTCGTAGTTTTTCGATTTTCACAGAATATTCTAGTTAGGTATGTAGATAATGATTTAGAAATCGGTTCAATTCAGCCCAGTGGCAGGTGCGTAGGCAACATGTTATACTGTGACAGCGGGCCCAGCACAGCAAAATAGACGATTTGAGCATAACGAGGTATTTAACGAAAGTGTTTGATAATTCTTCCCCTTTATAGGCGACCATCCCTGGCGACATTCCATGACGCCAAGCACAGCATCGTGGCGATGGATCTGGACGAGCCGAGAAAAAGACTGCTTACCGTCGGACAGGATCGCATCATCAAGATCTGGGACCTTTCCTCCATTTGGCCTTAAGAGCTACGTCCAACTATTGCATTCACACAGTTTAGTTTTCGCGTTTCTAACCGCTTTGCACGTGAAGCCCCCCCCCCCTTTCTCAGTTTAATATTGGCCAGGTACGAGGAAGATTTTGGATTGCAGAAATAAAATTGTATTATCACTGTACTGTACTACACTCACACATATAAATATCGTTTTAAGCTTGGCTTTATTTTGTTTATAATAGATTACAAGTGATTGAAGGTAACTAAAATGTAGGGAACGTCGTGTAACATATGGATGAAAAGTAACTAACTTTTTATACTATAATTGGAAACTACTAGGTGAAATAAAATTCATAAACGAATGACATCATAGTTAATATTCGGCTACAATACTAAAACTCACATATATGAAGAGAACGAAAGTGGGGTCCGTGGGTGGTTACAGTAGCTATACCAAAATTTGTGCGAAGAGAGCCCGTTGTTTGTGTAGTTTAACTGTAAACTTTAACAATAAAACTATAATGATAGTAGCCAATAAGACTTGAATAACTATTGTAATGTATGTTAGATTTTCTGGAAACAAGTGGAAATTTGAGTTATCTGTCGACCTGATGAGTTGTCCCCCTTTTTCATTAGCTGTATTCACTACAAATACAGCGGTTTTTTGTTGTTGTTGAAGAGATAATACTTGGTTACTCTATTCATTGTTTATGTATCAATAGAAGTTCTTCGCGTTTAAAGTTTGTGTTTCGAATTTCCGGGAAAGTATTGAACATGGTTTCATTGGTCTATGATTTCACGAGGAATCACAACCCTTGTCTCTAGTAATCAACGACTCGCGAACACTACAAGATAGAGAGACGAGTTTTAGAGGTGTAATTGGTGCTTTCAATGTTCATTGTAGGGAAGCGAAGAAACTGAAGACGTCGTCAGGTGAAGAACACAAAACTGTGACAAACTTAAGGGAAACAAATCGAATCCGAAACTTATTCCGAGAGATGTAAAATAAACGTAGAAAATACATTAACAAAACGGCATACATGCATGTATATTACACGAAAATTATATTGTTATGATAAATCAGAAGATAATAAATATATCATTCATTCTTTCGTTTTTAAAAACAAATTGATCGGTATTTTATTTTGGGAGAGCAGGCTGTGCGTTGGAACGAACATAACGTTTGATTTCTCTTCGGAACTTTTGATTTCATTTTTATGTTCTGTTGCGGATCCAGTCAAAATTACTGAAGCTAATTCAACGACTGAAAGTTTCAAGAGAGTGAAATTCTTACGAGTTCTGCAGCCCGTCCCTGAAGACATACTGGCTCTACATCCATGTGGCTTGCCGTTGACAAGTGGTTTCAAAAGTCAGCAGGAACTTCCAGCGGACACGTGACGTCCCATCGTTCTTCGAGTTTACGTCGTTTGTGATCTAAACTTATAGCGAATTCGTTTATTATTCAGTTCCAACCTGGATCGGGTATCAAGATTGGGTCGGCTTGTTTTCTAACAAACGTCAGTTTGCTCGTTTGTTTTTAAAACCTAGCTCAGGTTGAGGTTCACACTGACAAAAAGTTCGGTTTCACACTGGGTTGGAACTGGTGTTAACCCCGATAATAAACGAATTCGCTATTAGTGTTCTAGATGCATATCCTCAGTTATGAATTGAGAGCTTTCGATGCCTTACTACTTTTCGTATTAGTATAAGTGTGTGGCAAGTACAATCATACTCTATTATGCCCAGGGAAGTCGAGAAATTTTCCAACCCGAAAAATTCCTAGACCGGACCAGGAATCGAACCCAGCCGCCTCGAGCCAGCCTGGTCTTGCTTTGTAGCTGCGCCTTTACCGGCTGAGCTAAGGGAGGCTCACGAAATGTTTTGATATTACTCATATAACTTCAAACGTGTTTTCAAGCATTATCTAAATTAAACCTCATTTTTAAATACAGGTGTACTTCGATACAACGTAACTGTCACTTTTGACATCCATCGCCGATCATTCAAACAAGCAAAGTAATAACACCATCTAACAGATGAGATAATCTCCCATCTATTGATAATATTATTGTGAATGATTCAATTGTTATTAATTACGTTATATCGTTATATATGAAAATAAGAAATATAGTTTAATTGTCGCGGTGAGTTAATTAATAATTGGAAATGTTTTGTTGTTATGATAGTTCAGGAGATAATAATTTTCATTCGTTTTGAAATAAGAGGTGATTGTTATTTCATTTGTTTATTGATCTTTGTAGCTTATAATCTATGCAGTCTCATCGAGCTTTCGTGCATCTTTGGCAACCTTAGTCTTACCATTCAGAATAGCTCCTTCCTTGGCCTCTACGTTGATTCTCAACTGTCGGAGGCTTTCCTGCAGTAAAAGGATGGCATGCTGCAGTTGATTAATCTCTTCCATGCAACCGCAGTTACTGGGTTCGGATCGGTAGCTTGGTGGTGGGAACAAGTATCCTACAGAAGATTGCACGTTATTTACGTGATGGTCTCGCACCCTGCCCAAGAGGGCAGCCAGTTCCTCGGTACTGTGTGGAAAAACATGCGGTGCCGGAGTAGTCGTGGTGTAGTATCCGTGGGTAGTTGTGTATGGTGCATGCGTTGTGGTAGTTGGTGCAGCAGCGAACAGATTGAGCAGCTGTTGTTTAAGCGGTTTCAGCTTGAAAGGCGCTGCAGTTGTAGTCGTCGTATAATAATGCTCATAGTTCTCATGGTGCTCGTAGGGCTCGTGGTGATCGTCAGGCTCATAGTGCTCATGGTGTTCGTGCTCGTGGTGCTCGTGATGCTCGTTGTGTTCGTCGTGCTCACAGGGATCGTGGTACTCGCAGGGTTCGTGGTACTCACTATGTTCGTGGTGCTCGCAGGGTTCGTATTCGTATTGCGGATAGTAAACGGGCTCTGGAACGTAGTCATACTTAGGATAGTAGTAATACCCCTCTGCTTTACGTTTCTGTTTGATGGATTTTGTTTCCTTCGCTGGGTCTGTTGTATTTTCGCGCTCTTTTTCATGGGCATCATCTTTTTTCGCTGAAATCCAAGAACACGTTTTAGTTGGTAAAACATTTCACTAATTGAACATAATTAGCTGGTAAGGACAAGATTAATAGAATCCACAAATGGCCGCTATGGTGGCTTATTTTACAATGCTAATGGATCAATGAAAATACTGAGGTTTTCTGTGGCTACCACAGTACTTTACATTTGGTTGTCCATATACAGTAGCGCCAAAAGCATGCTGTGGTAGGTTCAAAACTTGACCATCTAAATTGATCAATTTAGTCATGACAACGGTCGTTTGTGGATTTTATCAACCTTATATTTAAAACAACTGGATGCAAACGGGAGAGAAACACGTTTTAATTGGTGAAAAACTTCAGAAATCATAGGTAGCTGTTAGGGACAATATTGATATAATCTACAAATGGTCGCTATCATGGCAAATCAGCCATGACAACGGTCATTTATGGATTTTATCAACCTTGTCCTTAACCAAATGGATGCAATCAGAGAAGACAAGTTGCTCCAATGTGCATACCACTTTAATCAGAGAGACTTGTTGACTTATTCATTAATATGCATTTTTTAAATATACCTTGTTCGTTGTCTACTACACTGCTTCCGGCAACCATCAGGATGATACATCCCGTCACTAACAATTTATTCCACATGATGGAAACTTTCGGTTTCAACTATCTGACTCGCTTGAGTTCTGTGAAGATACAGATTGATGCACTCAGCCAGAGGTTTCCTTGTTGGTTTCGTTTATAGTTTAAGCGGTAAAATAAACCAACCACACGGGTAGTCCAAAGACAGCTACACAAGAAGGTTTCTCCCATCGACAGGTAACATAACTTTCGTTATGTATCAATACATTATTAATCAGTAGAAAGTATCATTAGTGCAGATTGGCCGCATGTGTTATTTTTATGCTATATTATTTTCACTGCCTGCGTTTGTCGGTTGCTTTAAACGGAATCTCAAGGAAGTGAGCCAATTTTTAAATGGGGTAGATTTTTAGCAGCTTAGAGGATTTATGGGGAACTAGGGGCAAGAAAGTCACCCGGGGCAAGAGTGCAACCCTCAATATATCTTGAAAATGAAAACATTTCAATCTTATCTCACTATGAATCAAAGCATGGTATTCCTATGGAGCATTCTAGAAACTTTTGTCCGAATCGAAGTCGTAAAAAATGCAAAAAATCATTTTTCGGTGATGTATTGAAAAACTAGTTTTGTTTTATAAGAATACGGCATCATAAAATAAGGTTTTCGGCATTACCAATTTATTTTTTCACAATTTCTGCATTCAGACGTCACCATTGAAGGTTGATTGAAGCTTTAATAACGATAAATTATTAAATATTTCCTTTAATTGATCATAAATCATGTTCCTAAAAATAAACTCTATACGGGGCAAGAGTGTCACCCCTACATTTATGCATAACATTGTATAAAAATGTTCAGAAATCAGCACACTGGGGCATTTATGTTTCCAATATTAATTGTTTTCGTAAATTTTGGAAAACAAACTGTTTAGATATTATCAAACCAGTTATGGCATAATCATTAGCAAATTGATATTTTCCGGTCGTGATATTGGAGCAAAATATCATGCTTGATATTGATTTTACAAGCTCCTTTGATATTGCGAGACTATTCACAACGTGCAAAAATGGCAAAAATCAAGCTGTGAGTTGCATCGATGCAAAAATGATTCCGTTGCGGCTCGTTTTCTTAGAAAGAGAAGGTATAATAATGCTATCTCTTTTATCTCTTCACCGATGGCAGACACGAAGTGACTGCTGCCAGCCGTTATGGAAGTTTCGTTGCGTTCGAGTGTTAAGCCAAAATCATGTAATTCAATCTCACCACAGTTTGGTGAGATTTGCAGCTGGTGAGTTTTGTTAGCTTGATATTAGGTTCTGCAGCGTGACGTCACGAATGAACTCAGTGTTTTTTTTTTCCTTTGGTTTGTTTTTTCCGTCGATCTTGTTTTCCGTGCTTAGCACCAATGCTACCGACGTGCCAGGAAGGCAGCTCCCACACCTGGACCCTACCTATTGACCCATCAACTCATGAACCGGGGACCAATGGCTTTACTTCCCATCCGAAGGAAGGCGTGATCAGAGATGTTATGCCTCAGAACATCCCGGCGGCGCCGACTGGGATTGAACCCAGGCCTGTTGGGGTGAGAGGTAATCACGCTTACCACTACACCACCGTAACTCAGTGTTAATCGTCTGAACCTTTTTGAGTGTACCACTGAACTGTCATCCGATTAGGCAGCGTGACGTCACAAATGAACTCAGTGTTAATCGGCTGAGCCCCGTAAAGTGGGTAGATCACATTTTCGTGGTACGTTACGGGATGTAAGATCTACCACCGATTCCTAGTCTTGACTACTTCAAACTAGAGGAATAGGATTTTTCAGTAATCCAAGGAACACATCTTAGTCCTTGTTACTTTTTATGCCTTGTTGATAGTGACAAGACTCGGCTTTGTCTACCGAGGATGATCTTGAAAGAAGGAAAAAAAATGAGTTAGTTGTCTTCATCTATGTGATTCCTAATCTTCTGTTCGTTGTTCCCTAGTTCCTGACTAGGGGAACAGGATTTTTCAGTAATCCAAGGAACACATCTTAGTCCTTGTTACTTTTTATGCCTTGTTGATAGTGACAAGACTCGGCTTTGTCTACCGAGGATGATCTTTAAACAAGGAAAAAAAAAATGAGTTAGTTGTCTTCATCTATGTGATTCCTAATCTTCTATTCGATGTTCCCTAGTTCCTGACTAGGGGAACAGGATTTTTCAGTAATCCAAGGAACACATCTTAGTCCTTGTTACTTTTTATGCCTTGTTGATAGTGACAAGACTCGGCTTTGTCTACCGAGGATGATCTTGAAAGAAGGAAAAAAATGAGTTAGTTGTCTTCATCTATGTGATTCCTAATCTTCTGTTCGTTGTTCCCTAGTTTGAAGTGGTTAAGACTAGGGTTCTGATGCATGGTCATTATCGGTGTCATACCTTAATTTTGTTGCTAAGGAATCCAATTTTGATTGACAAAGGGGCGCGCCTTTGGAGGGTGTTTCAACACTCCGAAGGGTATTAATA